AGCTATCCGATTATATCGCTATTAATAAGATGGAAAAAATATTTTTATTGCTGAAACCGTGCGGTATTTTACCTATTATTTGGATTTTGCAACGTCATTTGATTTTGTCATGAGAGGATTGGTTTATGACCGGACTATATCACTTCGACGGACTGTAACCGGGGAAGACCGAGGGCCTCGCTACCTGTCGGAGTCCTTTTCGCGCTAGAAGAGGAGAGGCAAAAAGAGAAGGGAAAAGAGGGACGCCGCCTCGGGCATCGGGATAATATGCCGCGATCCTGCCGTATATACAGCGCATAGCCGGCCCTTCTCTCTTCTTCTCTCTCTCTCTCTCTCTCCCTCTCTCTTTCTCACTCTGCTCAGCTTCGAGAACGAGCCATGGCCGGCATATACGATATCTCTGGCAAGCGCCAACAGTTGGCTCGCGCGGAGTCACGAAGGCCGTCTTTCAAAACCTCTTCAGGGAAATCTCTGGCCACCGCCGAAAGGAAGAAAAGTCCGCTGCTGCTGGCTGCTTTCTCGCCTTTGATCGACCGGAATGCCGAGCGTTCCTCCTTGAGAGACGGAAGTAAACGACCCTCACAAATTGCCGGCCCGATGCCTCGTTCCAGGACGTTGTCGCCGGCGTCCTGGTGAATCAGACCGAGCACGCCGGGGCAAGTACCTTCACGTCCTGGAAACCCGCGCGTCGAGACGCCAGACGTCCTAAACGATCCCTCAAATATTGACACGCGAAACGTTCGGCGACCCGCGCTGGAGGCAACCTTGGTCAGGACCTCGCTCTTCTGTCTAACTTACGGATCTTTGGTACGCTTCGGAAGCGATGGTGCAGATAATAAAAATTATCGTGCATCACGCAAAAAGAAACTGGTTGAAAAAGATTACAGATGTGAACCTCTTTTCGACGTTTGAATCTTTACAATTTCGGAATATTGCGATCATCGACAACTGAACGACAATGCTGTTGCTACAAAGATTTCTGCACTATAATTTATCAATATTTTCTCTAAATTCTCGTCTCTGGACGAAATTGGTGTTTCTAAAGTCGAACGAAAATTTTTTAGTTGCGTCGAAAGATCTTCGCTCAAGCGAATTCCCAATGTGTCTGGGCCCTGGGGTCTTTGGTTCACGGGCATGGCGACTGATGCGCGACCGTTTCGGCAAACTTACGACCCAGCCAGGGTCACGGACCTCTTTTCGTCCTTTCCTGCCTGTTTTTTTCGTTGTTAGTGTCTCGACGTGACCACGGGGCCACGGGGTGCACCGTCGTCGTCGCGACTCGTAGAGCGTTTAACGAGCGTTGGGTGACGAGCGGTTCAAACCGTTGAACCGGCGATGATGAACGTTGATAAGGTTTTATGGTCGTGTCTCATCCTGTCCCACCAATCGTGGTCGCTACATTCTCATCCACAAACACGCGCACACACATATGTTTTCTGGCTCACCTCTATGGATACAGGGCAAATTATGAGCGTGTGACGTCGTTCGCTTCGTTTTGCAACTCTTTTCGTTTCCACGGTGTGCACCTTGCCTTTCTGTAATCGCGAGACAAAGACTGGAAAGTTGCGGTAAGAAAATTGAACGAATTTCGGCGGTTCGAATCTTGCATAAAGTATCTTTTATTGGAGAATGTTTGCGAATAGATGAGACATGAAAATTTGGTTGGTTATGTGAAATTTGAGGATACAGGAACGTGTCTTCTGTGTTGGAAGAAGAAAACAGGTTGCACGACAAGAAATATCTTATGCATCAATCTTCCTTTTTATTACGAGAGAATTTAGTTTACGTGGAATCGAGATTCACGATCAGACACAGAACTCGAACACTTGTACGCGTGAACTGTGTCCAATATTTAATCCAGTACAATGCTCAGACATCAGATAATTCTAAAGCAACCATCTTTTCTCATAACGAGCATTTTGTTTCGGGGGAACTCCTCTAAGGGAAAGTTTTCCCTCCCTTTGCGAAGGGGCCCGTGAAGGTTGAGCGGGCTGCATAATTTCGCGAAATTTTACCGTGGAGGCGAAACTGGTTGGAGACGTCAGACGTGGTAGGACGCGAAGCGTGACTATAAGAAATTTTCCAGCCCCGTACACTTTGAGAATGAGCCGGTGAAAAGGCATCGCCGCCGACGTCCCGGTGGGTGGAAACTCGCGCTAGAACTTCGCGCGCTTCCAAGTCTTTTTCACGCATCACGTACGAAATTGACTGGAAGCGGGAAGTTAGTCGATACCTTTTGCTAGCTACATCAGCGCTGAAAAGCGTTGCCAATCTCGTTGCGCTGAAATTCTTTGGAAACAAATTCTCTCACATATATTTCAGCCTCGTTAAATAATCATCGACGTAGCCTTTTGATTTCCTGACTGCATGAAATGTTCAATCTTTTTCAAGTTTACTTTTTATTTCCGTCGACTGATAAATGCTAGCTAGCTATAGGAAATAGTGAAGGAAGCGAAAGATAAATTTCGCGGAAATAAACTCTCTCGTGCGCCCTAGTTTGTTCTTTCAATGCGCCGCGATATCACTTTCTAGCGTCACACTTATCTTGAGTGATATTTCACTGAACAATGTCTAGATCCCCCAGGAAACGGTCTAGGAAGCAATGCTCCCGCAAAAATAGCGCCTATCACTTTATCGTAGGCATACAGATTACGACTCGCGGCATTCGTTTCTCGAGTGTGCCTGACTGCATAGTTGTAGCACATCGTACTATTTAGAAATTAAGGATGTATTGGCTATACAGTCAATCCCAAAAATTTATGTACCTTAGAAAAACGCATTTCTTATAATTAAAAAGAAATCAGACGTCGGAAGAATAATGTTAATAATAAATAGCTACGTGCTAAAAAGTATAGAAG